GGCACTTAACAACAACAACAACAATACCTCTGTTGGGAGTCCTGGTGTGACGCTGTAGGCTAAGCACTGGACCGCAAGGTCAGTTTGAACTGCAAGGTCAGCAGTTCAAACTCACCAGTCACTCCTCAGAAACCCTATATAGGCTTGCTATGAGTCGGAACTGACTTGACGGCATTTAACAACAAATACGTTAGAATCTTCATATTTCCATTTGTTCTCAAAAGAAAAGAAAAAACAAACTTCTATCCTTAATTAGTAATCTCCCCTAGTTCAAGACTCTGTATTGTTTTGTTTTTTTAATCAAATCAGAACAGGCTCTAAATTCAGAGTTCCTCAACAATTTGCTGATCAATATTGTCAAGATCATGGGGTTATTTTTCCCTTTCATGTCCTCTGTATATTGCAAGTCTACTTGTGTCACACAGCCATGACTTTTTCCTTTCCTTTGTGTCTTTACAAATGATGATACCCTTTCCTTGGTAAGATTGCTCCTCTATGCTTCCTTAAACATCCACATATAGTAACCCTCTACAGTTGCCTCCACAGAATCTGTTCATCTCTAACTTTGGATATCTACTTTGATGCTTATAGAATCTGCTCATACACAGAATTGTAACTATCTTTCTGTTAATCTGCCACTTAACTATTTAGTTGTTTTACAAGGTTTGTTTTATCTTTAAGTTATACTGTATATTTAATGAGAATAAGAATGATACCAAAAGAGTCTTTTATACATTCTCATAACGCCCACAAATGCAAACTTGCAATATAATTTCTTGTTTTTAGAACAACGCAGGAAGTATATCGGAAACAAATAAAAACCCTGGGTGATAATCTGGAAAGAGAAACTCAGAGATGGTAAGAAAACCAAAAATTATTTGTATTATGAGTTGTTGTTAAGTGCTGTCATGACGGTTCCAACTCATGGTGTTGTTGTTAGGTGCTGTGCCAATCCATCTAGTTAGGGGTCTTCCTCTTTTGCTTCAACCCTCCACTTTACTTTATCAGTGACTGTCCCTCCTGATAATATGTCCAAAGTATGAGAGACAAAGTTTGGCCATCTTGGTTTCCAAGGAGCATTCTGGCTTTACTTCTTCCATCACACATTTATTTGTTTTTTGGAAGTCCTCGGTACATTTAATATTCTCCTCCCACTCCATAGCTCAAATGCTTCAATTCTTCTACGGTCTTCCTTATTCACTGTTCAACTTTCGGAAGCATATGAAGTTATTGAAGATACCATGGCTTGAGTTTGGCACACCTTAGTCCTCAAACTGACGTCTTTGCACCTGAGCATTTTAAAGAGGTCATGTGCAACATATTTGCCTAATGCAATACATCATTTGATTTCTTAACTACTACTGCTTCCATGAGTGCTGATAGTGGATCCAAGCAAAAGGAAGTCTTTGACAACTTCAATCTTTTCCCTGTTTATATGGATGTTGTTTATTGGGCCAGTGGTGAGGATTTTTGTTTTCTTTACATTGAGATGCAACCCATACTGAAGACTGTGGTCTTTGATCTTCATCAGTAAGTATTTTAAGTTCTCTTCACTTTCAGCAAGCAAGGTTGCATCACCTGCATAGCGCAGCTCTTCCTTAGTGAGTCTTCCTCCAATCCTGATGCCACATTTTTATTCATATAATACAGCTTTTGGATTATTTGCTCAGCATATGGATTGAATAAGTATGGTGAAATAATACAACTCTGGTATACACCTTTCTTAATTTTAAACCCCATTCAGTGTTTCCTTGATCTGTTCAAACAGCTGCCTCTTGGTCTGTGTACAGGTTCCTCATGAGCACAAGTAAGTGTTCTGGAATACTCATACTTCACAATGTTGTCCATAACTTGCCATGATCCACACAATCAAAAGCCTTGGCATAGTTGGTAAAGCACAGGTAAATATCTTCCTGATACTCTCTACTTTCAGCCAAGATCCATCTGATATCAGACAGCAATGATATCCCTCCTTCCACATCCTCTTCTGAATCTGACTTGAACCTCTGGAAGTTCTCTGTCAATGTATGGTTGCAGCTATTTTCATAGTACCTTAGTAAAACTACTTTCATGGGATATCAAAGATATTGTCTGATGATTTCCGCATTCCTTTGGGTCACCTCTCTTTGGAATGGGCAAAAATATAAATCTCTTCTAGTCAGTTGGCCAGGTAGTTGTCTTCCAAATTTCTTGCATAGATGAGTGAGTGCCTCCAGCGCCTCATCAGTTTGTTGAAAGACTTCAATTTGTATTCCATCATTCCCAGTATCTTGTTCTTTGCCAATGCCCTCAATGCACCTTGGACTTCTTCCTTCAGGATCATTGAAATGGTTACACATCAACCATTTCTTTTTGGTACAGTGAATCTGTATATTCCTTCCATTTTTTTATGCTGTCTGCATCATTCAATAATTTGCCCATAGAATCCTTCAATACTGCAATTCAAGATTTGAATTTTTACTTCAGTTCCCTCAGAAGTAGACTGAATACTAACTAGGAGAAGAAACTGAACAGGGGTGGCAAAAAGAGGAGACATATGGGTAAAGTGTTGGTTGGCCTGATACAGTGCGGTCATTTTGAACTTTTACAAGCAGCATTCAATCAAGACAAGTGGCTTGATGGCACAGATACACACCAATGCTTGGCAACAAGAAAGCTGCAATTCTTCCTGTTCTCCACCCCTCCTGGTGACCAGAAGTGTCACCTTCACCCTCATCCATCCTCTGCACAGCCCATGCTCTGCCAGAAGTCAGAGCAATGCCATTGTGAATTGGTCACAGGGTGCAACAACCCTGTGTCTGGAAGATCCCAAATTTCTCATCTTCAGACTAACAGAAAGTGCAGTACCAGTTTCTAGACAGTGCTGGATGAATAGGAACTGCCATAACAGTTACCCTGCCTCCAACTGACCTTTGGATCTGAAAGAGTTCCTTCTGGATCCAAAGACCCTGACCTCAGCCACCATTCAAGTGCTCATTAACTACTTGATGAATAGGTGCCCTAACCATACACCTAAGACTATAGGAACTCCATCTAAGGTTGGGCATGCTTCCCTCCCTTCTACCTGGTCCAATCTCATGAACTCCTCAACTGGAAGAAGGTACCAACCCATACTGAGCAGCGTGCCCCAGTTCCTGTAGCACCTGATGAATGATAGGTAGCAGCCAACATAAGTCAAACTCACCCTGAATGCACTACATTAACAGCAAGCATAGGACAGCACACACTTCCATTCTCTATCACACCTACCAGGAAGAATGTTGTGAGTGCCTAAGAACACATCAAAATATAATCACCTATTAAATAAAAATACAATGACATCACAATGTCTCAGAGACAACAGACAATTTCAGTTCCCATAAAGAAAGAAGACAGAGTGGCTCAAATAAGTGACCAAAATGCAGACCCAGAAAAAGTTTCTGGGAAAGAAATGGCATTGGATCTGCCTGAGAAAGAATTCAAAAGAATGCTATTTGGAACTCTTCAATGGATTGAGAGAAAGAGTGAGAAAACTGCAGATAAAAGCAAAGATAACACAGTATCTTTGAATTTAGAAGTATTCCGGAAACCACTGCAAAAGCAAGTGTACAAAATAAATGAGAATTAGAAACAATACAAAAACTACAAATAAAACTACAGAAAATTAATACTAAGATTCCTAAATAGATAATACATCAAAAGGGCAAAGGAGTAGTTTTGAGTCAATGGAAGACCGTAAACTAGTCTGCTAAAAGAAAACCAGAAAAAAAGATGAAGAAAATTTAAGAATGATGTGGGACACCATCAAGAGGAACAACTTACAAGTGATCAGAATTCCAGAACAGAAAGAAACAAGAAAAGTACAAAGAAAAATGGAGACTTGTTGGAAGAAAACTTCCCTAATATCATGAAAGACAAGAAGATAAGTATACAAGAAGCTGAGCAAATCCCAAAAGAAAATCATCAAGTCATAATCAAACTTTCCAAATCAAAAGACAAAGAAAGATTCCTGAGAGCAACTCAGAGTTCAAACAAATGTTACTTACAAAGGTAAACCAATAAGACTGAATGCTGATTTCCCAACAGAAACCATGCAGGCAAAGAGGCAATGAAATGACATATATGAAACTCTGAAAGAGGTAGGCTTATGGCAAGATGGCAGACTAGCTAGATACACTACTTGGACCCTCTACAGCAAAGACATGAGAGACAAATGAAACGGACACAGATGAAAATCCTGGAACCCTGAACTTCAGAGGAAAGATTAGAGAAGTTGACTGAGTGCTTGTTAGGAGAAGTGAATAGGGATAGCAAGAAAGGGAGATATACTGGTGAAAGGATGGTCAGACACAGCACAACCACCTTCAACTTTTGTAAGCAGCTTAGGTGACAGAGCTTTTGTAAGCTGGCTGAGTAGGTGATGAGAAAGGTACAATTCCTTGTTTTTTCCCCATACTCCTATGGTGACCAGATGTGTGGCCAGTCTCCACCCTCATCCACCCCCAGCACAGACCCTGCTCTCTGGAAATTTGGAGCCACATAGGTTCTGAGCCACACCAGTGTGAGACAGGAGTCAGCTTCAACCCTTTGGTGTCTGGATTCAGGTGGGTTTTGCTGCACACATTCAGAATCCACAGAGCCACCAGACCAGCACTAGTCTAGCATAAACCCACATAATCGGTCACCTGGTCCACAGGTGAGACTCTGAAATCAGCTCCATCAGGGCCTCCACAAACTACTTTTGGATTGAGTGCTTTGAACATAAATAACACTTAGGACTGTAGGAACTCCACCTAGGGCCAGGAACTCTGCTCTCACCTCCCTCTTGCACCCAACTCATCAGCTCTTTGGCTGCCAAGGACCCCCAGAGTTTTCTCCTCTCCAGGGCCAACAACTGCAAAGTTTTTTTTTTATGTTATTGTTTCTGTTTTGTTTTTTCTTTTGCTGTTTTTGTTTGTTTGTTCTTTAGTCTCCTTCTCTTTTCATTCCCTTAAATTTTATTCTTTCCATTTTTGCTTTTGTTTATCCTTCTTTTCTTGTTTCATTTACCCTCTTCCTCTATTTTTTTCCCTTTTGATCTTTCTTTACTGCTCTCTACTCTCTTTCTCTTTTCATCTTGCCACTCTCTGGATTTTCTTATGTGCTTTTAATTTCTTTTATTTTTCTCTTCTATGACTCCATTTTCCTGTCCCTCTTTTTAGTTATGATTTTTTTTTTTCTGGATACTGCCTTGTATATTTTTTTCCCTTTATTATATTCTCTTTTCATTGTTGTTTGTTTGTTTATTCTGATTTGTTTTCTTGTATGTGTGTGTGTGGGGGGGGGGAGTGGTCTCTCCTCTTTCCCAGACAAGAGACAGAAACTATGCTCACACAGCCCGCCACAACTGTACCCTTTGCAGATTGGGCAAGAGCCAATACCATCTCCTGAACAACATGATCAGCAATAGGCAGCAGCCAAAATCAGGCAAATGCACCCTACACAGGTGTGCTAACAGAGGGTGGTGTGCATTTTTCCATTCTCTTACTACACCCACAGAACATAGTGGATGAAAATCTAAGAACACATCAACATTGTTGTTGTTCAGTGTCGTTAAATCAATTCTGACTCATAGCAACCCTGTATAGGGTTTCTGAAGAGAAGCTGGTGTATTTGAATTGCTGAATTATAGTTAGCAGTCCAGTGCCTATCCTACTGAGCTATATTATAACTCAAAATCAATATATAATCATCAATTAAATACAAATATGAAAAACCACAATGTTCCGGAGACAACAGATCCTTTTAGCTCACACAAAGAAATGAGAGTAAGGCTCAAACACATGTTCAAAATGTAAAGCCAGAAAATGTTTCTGAGGAAGAAAATGCAATGGAACTAA